AAGGCACAGGTACGCACAAGGGACCCCGCACATCACAACGGCAGCTGAGACCCCCCCATGCGTCACTGCACCAAATCAGTCAAGCAAAACAAATGACAAACGCACTCATCAATTCGTTACCAGCTTTGAAAGCTGGTAACGAATTGATGAGTGCATTTGTCATTTGTTCTGCTCCTCCCGGACACCTGACTCCCACGTCCAATCAGATAAGAGCAGCTATTCCCATTTTATTTTTAACTCTTTCTCCCGGGACTATTCCTCCCCGTAGTCATGTAGCCCCTCCGCCCAGTCTCTCATTGTCTGTCTGTCTGTCTAGTCCAGCTTGATCAATCAAATACAAGAAGCAGAGGGGACTCCAGAAAAGGACATGACAACCAGCCCAAAGCACCATCCCTAAGAGAGCCGCCAGTATCCGCGTGGCCGTCTCCATGCGTGGCCGTCTCCAGCCGCGTTCTGTGCTTGTGTTTCCTCTGGTCTAAATTGGTCCTAGCATGTGAGATGGGGACCTTAGATTGTAAGCTCGAGGGCAGGGACTGATGTAAATGTGTATTATGTGAATTGTCAGCGCTATATATCATTTCTGTATAAAACATATAAATAATCTTATATAAATAATGATATAAAGCCCTGAACCTAAACGCCCGCTCACACTGCGCACCAAATTGTTTTTTATTTATTCGGCAATTCCAGGGAATTCCTCTTCTCGGGAACAGTCACTGATTAACCTGTAACACTGAACTAGTCTCATGGCCGCGGGGGGGAACATTTTTCTTCCCAGCGCTTGTGATGTTTTGATGGTTTGCAGTATACATCCGCCTGAGGGCACGAGGCTTCATGAGGGAGGAACTCTGGAATAAAAGCCTCTTATTATCCGCCACTGAACAAAATACGAGCGGCAGGGCTTACACTGATATGAGGTGAGAATCTGATACAGCGCACACCAGGGGGGAAGACTCTCCCATAGAGCTAACACTTTATTGCTGGACTCCAAGCAGAAAATACCATTCGGGAAGGGCCCAGTTACATCTGGTGCTGCGTTAATGCACATGCGTGTCACGGGTTCACTTGTGATGCATTAAAGTGATATCAAATTCAAAAGGTTTTTAAGCAATTTCAAATGCTGATGAAATTACTTCCAATGGATGCTGCTCCTCGATGTGTAAAAGCTGCAGAATCAGCTGGTCCCCTGAGCACTGGTCCTGACTTCCTGTTTTAGTGGCACCTTTCTCTTGCAGGGTCCTATGGAGCCACCCGTGTGTTTGCTACTAAGCTGTGCGTGTCTCCACAATCCCACAACAAGAGAAGACATTCATCTGCTCCCCCTTCTCCAAGCTAGTAGATGGAAAGCTACTGGAGACGGCTCTGTCCCATGTGATCTTGTGCTGCAGGAAGTTCAGGGAAGTCAAGCTGAGAGAGTTGGAGCTGTTTGGAAACATGATGACTGTAAGTGCTTGGGCAAAGATGTACAGACATACTTTGCTGGGTGATGTGTATTTGATTAATCTGAATTCATTATTGGAAAAACTTTGAGAGCTTAAAGGAGAACTATGGGGTCAGTGTTTTTCCCCATAGTTCTCCTTGGGGTAACGGGAGGACACAAACTAGCGTCCTCCCGTTACCCTAAGCTCAGTATACCGCGAGTTACAGCTCGCGGTATACTGAGACGCTGCACCTGGAGCGGATCCCGACTTAGAGGACGGGATCCGCCCAGCTGCGTAAGTGACAGCTGGCTCTGCCTATCTAGAGGCAGAGCCAGCTGTACCCGCCCCCTCCCCCGTCCGTTCCGCCAGTCAGCGCTGGCAGATCGGAGCGGGGAGAGGGGAATCCAACCCCTCCCCTGTCACGGCAGAGAGCCGTGACAGGATCGAGAGGTGAGGGAACCCGGTATGTTTTCCCTCACCTCCCGATCTCCTGAGCCGACCTGTGGCAGTCTCATTGTCACAGGTCGGCTTAGAACTATGAGGTGAGTGGAAATCACTCATCTCATAGTTCTCCTTTAATACTACTTTAAGACACTGTCCCTCAATCTGCCCCTCAATCTGCCCCTCAGCCTGCCCCTCACTCTGCCCCTCAATCTGCCCCTCAGCCTGCCCCTCAGCCTGCCCCTCAGTCTGTCTCTCAATCTGCCAGCAGTCTGTGCCTCAATCTGTCCCTCAGTCTGTCTCTGAATCTGCCAGCAGTCTGTGCCTCAATCTGTCCATCAGTCTGCCGCTCAGCCTGTCCCTCAGCCTGGCCCTCAGCCTGCCCCTCAATCTGTCCCTCAGTCTGCCCCTCAGACTGTCCCTCAATCTGCCCCGCATCTGCCCCTCAGCCTGCCCCTCAATCTGTCCCTCAGTCTGCCCCTCAGCCTGCCCCTCAATCTGCCCCTCAGTCTGTCCCTCAGCCTGCCCCTCAATCTGCCCCTCAATCTGTCCCTCAGTCTGCCCCTCAGCCTGCCCCTCAATCTGCCCCTCAGTCTGTCCCTCAGCCTGCCCCTCAATCTGCCCCGCAGTCTGTCCCTCAGTCTGCCCCTCAGTCTGCGAACACTATCAGCTTCCTGTAGAGTCCGGAGTATAATCTGCTACAAAGAAACAACTAGAGAGGAAACTAATATAAATTGTATTATTTTTAGGTACGCGGTGTGACTGGAGGCTTTTCAAATTTGACTGCCAGCGTGGCAATACACTTCAACATGGAGGACCCCAAATCTACATCTCCCTCTTCCTAACCCCAGATAGGACATAAACATTCTAAAACCCTTCTCTGTACACACAATGGACCGAGCTGAACAATACAATACAATACCAGATATGACCAGCAGGTGGCACTGCAGCCGAACGCTTTAATTGCATTGTTCAGTCTCATTAGAACTGATGGAAGCTGTATGAGGGTGACCCCTTATATTAGGGTTAGGCAACTTTAGCACTCCAGCTGTGATGAAACTACAAATCCTTTCATGCCTCTGCCACTGGGTGTCATGCCTATGACTGTCAGTCTTGCAATGCCTCATGGGACTTGTAGTTCCACAACAGCTGGAGTGCCGAGTATGCCTACCCCTGCATTATATAATTTATAAAGGGGTTTATCGATGGACTACCAGTACGGTGACACCACAGCACTTGTGCTGGCGCGATCTGTGAGTCCCTCTGCCACAGAGGCAGATGGGATTTGTAGTCTTCCAATTCGCTGATCTCTGTAATTAGATGACACAGCTATGTGGGCACAGTTGCACACAATTGAATAGAGAAGACTGCAGGTAGAGGAACCCCCTATTCGGGTAAGTGGGGGCGGTTTTAGGAGGGGGGATGTTTCATGTTGCACCCTAATTATGGCGTTTACATATTTGGAAAGTTGGACTGAGCCTTACAAATGACATGTAATATATATTATTAAAGACTTGGCACAGCGCACTGCACGGCATGCTAGTTGGGCCTGTGCCCCAATAAATCTCAATGGCATCCCCTATGGCGGGCATGCATTGCAGCGCTGCGCAACGCGGGGTAGTGCAGCAACGTGCGTTGTTGCTCTGCCCAGTTGTGCATGCATTATTCTTTTTGCCATGCACATGATTGCTGCTCAGAGCCTATTGCTGTACCCCACGGTGCACATGGCCCCCAGAAGGTGCCTTGGGGTGCCATTGAGAATCAATGGCAATGTGACACCCCCAGCCCAACTAGCATGCAGTATAGTGCGATAGTGACAGAGGGTACGTGTGTTTAGTGCAATGCTATGGTGTGAATGGCCCCTAAA